TGTCGTAAAGTGACCTACAATATATCTGCCGTTAAATTTTTGCGCCTTCCTCTAAGGTCCCGCGAAACTCAATTGAGATTCTAGAGTTACGAAAGTGGATCCCACTCCTCGTCTCGTCGATCATTGCGGGTTTTCCTTGTTCAGCTCTTCTTGACAACACCTTAAGCTGCTGATCGGTTCCGTCAGTCACCTTCGCCTTAAACATTTCATGCGAACCCTAAAGTCAATCTCTAGAGTCTTTCATCAAGAAGAAGTAGGTCTGAACTTACGCAAAATCCATAATTCGATAGACAAAGCTGCAGGGGGGCTTTATACGCGAGAGTAGTATCAACAATTTTCTCTTGATCAACACGAGTACTTCCTACTAAGTTTCATGCCGTGATGTACGTACAGCTTCCCTCGAGCTTTCCTCGCCTTATCACTTGCGATTGGACCGCTGTTTGGCATCTCGACCTCTAGATGTTGCCTTATCATCGTATCCTGCGTAAGCTCCTGTCTTTAGATCTTGCAATATCACCTCATGCTGCATAAGCTCCTTTATCATCTCACCGACCCTCCCTTGATTATTCACCGATTTGCCTGCCTCTAAGCGACCCCGAAAGTCTTTATATCACCGCCTTCCTCCCACATGTAGACATTGACTTCAAGCACAACTACCTTTTCAAGATGGAAGCGAAACAAATTTCTCCTACCATGGTGCCCCAAGCTGGGTTAAGCAATACGTCGCTCGAGGGAAGCTCACATATTATACTACAACCACGGCCTAGTAACGACCCAAATGATCCTCTCGTGAGTTGAATGCTTAGCCTCCCTGCGCATGCTAAGTAGCTAATCTCATCAAATTTTTAGAACTGGCCACGATGGAGAAAGAACCTGAATTTTATATTAATTTCCTATTATACCTTGATGGTATTTTCACTGTAGGTGTTCTTCTATTACATAGATGTAATACAGAAGTACTAAAGCAAGCAGAATCGACATCGCAACTGTGACCTGGGCGCCAGTGAATGCCGAGCTTGGTTTTAGTTACGCCATACTCAATGACGCTTTCGCTGCTGGAAACGGGGCGTTGTGTATCGGCGGGTTTTTACTCGTTCCGTTTGCATTGAAGTTCGGACGACGACCAGTTTATATCTTCAGCACTGCAGTTCAATGTGGAATGAGTATATGGTACGCCAGGATGGGGACCGTGGCAGAGCTCATGTTGATTAATCTGTTAAGTTGCACGGTCGGTGCATTAGCAGAAGTGATGGTTCAGATGACAGTGGCTGATATGTTTTACTTTCATGAACGAGGACTCGTAAATTCTATCTACTACTGGTTCATGATTACCGGAGCTACTCTATCACCGTTACCCGGCGGTTTCATCACTTCGAGCCAAGGCTGGCGCTGGGTGTGGTGGTGGCTGGCTATATTGCTTGGAGCAGGCCTTGTTGTGTTTATTTTCTGTTACGAAGAGACAATGTTTACCCGTCCGACCACTGAAACCGAACAAGTCTCCAGCCAGCCGGAAAGCGAAGAGGCAGTCAACAACAACGACCCAGAGGCACTAAACGTCGCTCCTCAACTCGGAGAGGTCATAATTGATTATTCAATTCCCCAAAAGTCTTATTGGCAAAAATTGGCATTGTGGTCGAACTCATCAATGCCACTGAGTCAACTTTTCAAGCACACTTACCAGCCTTTCTTGGTCATGTTCACCATACCGGCTGTCTTTTTCATGTCACTTCAATATGGAGTCTTGATTTCCTGCATAGTTCTTCCAGTCACCTCCCTATCATCATACATGACACTTCCCCCATATGAGTTCAATCCTACTCAGATTGGATTGATGGGCCTTCCACCTTTCATTGGTGCTAGTCTAGGGACTTTGATTGGTGGCTTCTTGAGTGACTATGTTTCTCTCTACCTCGCCAAAAGAAATGGCGGTGTCTTTGAGCCCGAGATGCGTCTTTGGATTTCTGTCGCCTTCGCACCTTTTGTCCCAGCGGGTGTCTTCATTTTCGGAATTGGTTTGAACAATGGCGCTAACTGGCTTGTACCGGCCTTTGGGCTTGGAATCATTTGTTTCGGGGTTCTTCCAACTAGCAGCGCTGCACTTACATACCTGACCGATGCATACACAGATGTGAGTTTTCTTCTTTTTTGAGCCTCACACAAGCAATTACTGACAGTAAAATTTACAGATCATTGCCGACTCAATTATGGGTGTGACTTTTGTCCGTAACGCCATCTTGACAATGTTTATTTTTGTTCTTCAGCCCTGGACTGATAGTGTTGGATTGACATGGGTCTATGTGACATTTGGAATCATAACTACTGTTATACTCGGTGGTAACATTGTGTTTATCTACTTTGGGAAGAAATTCAGGATCAAGACTGCTGCCAGGTACGCAGGTTTTAGTGATCGAAAACCAGAGCAGACAGACGAATAGTGGGGCCAGAAGATTTATGAGTTCCATGACAAACTTCCAACTGGAATTTAATAGTCTGATTGATTCAGTAATTTTTAACGATACCATTTTGCATTTTAATAGAGAAGAGTTTCACAACACATTTGAGAGCTTATAGATATGATTGTTTCATGTGTGATTCGAAATTTCGATTGTTTGATTTGACAGCGAATATCAAAGAGAGAGCAAATCATTTGTGTCCCGCGTTTTCCTTTCTACAGGAGGGGGACTTATTAGAGTTTCGAAACTTTAAAATTTTAGCGTTGCGGGAGATGCAAGCTAATGGTAGACGGTGACAGGGGATGCGGGAAGAAGAGGAGCTGAATGAGGGGGCAAAGCTAGCCGAATTAGACTGCAGGAGACGGAGACAGCTAGCCGAACCAAACTAAAAGTGACGAATCGTTCAGCAAGTACTGACTCGAGTACATTATTGAAGAAATATTAAGCTTTTAGTTTTTTACTATATCGTACAGCTCGTTGAATATTTTAATTTATAAATACGCTTTCAATAGACTTTGATTATTAGTCCAATCGGAAAGCTATTCGTAACGCTTCGACAATTCAAATATTTCCTCGAAATTGACCAACTTCCCTAAAAGGTTAAAGCGTTTTATGAAATAAATATATTGAATTAATTGCCGTGAGTCCTGTCCGATTTCTAAAATTTAATCCATGTATATAATAATGATGCTGAATTTTTGAGGAGTTCACACGGTCAAGGGTTTGGAATATATAGATTTTGTCACTACATATATAGCTGGCTGAAATTTTTCCAAGTGAATATACTATAGTTCACCCAGCGCGAGAGATGATTGTACTAAACCAATAAGGTAAATTTGCAATTATCAGGTGCACTATAGATCCATGGTAAAATCGAAATGCTTCAAATAATTACTGAAAATTCACTTGACCGATCATTAAATTATTCTGCATAGGTACCCAAGGCCATAGAGTCGTGACAATCCTGCACAAAAAAATCAAATTCAGTAACCGTATTGAAATCATGCAGGCGCGACGCGTAAGAATGAAAGAGAACAACCACGTGGTGCATGCATACCACCAAGACAAGCAGTTGCTCTGATTCAAGTCGTTATCACATCTATAGTGAGAGCAGTCACAAAGACCTGCATATGTATGCTTAGCAAAGTCACTGACGTATACTTACTCATGATTCCTGAGACCGGACATAAATAGAGATCTCTTACTCGTTGAGAGACATCATCAATATTGCCTTCCCTCTCTATTCAGAATGACAGTCAGTGTCCCAACCCCTTTCCGACGCATTAGTGCCAAGGCACCCGTCGAGGAGATCCTCCAGATGTTCCGCGAAGACGGCGGGATTGTGGTGGAGGATTTTTTCACCCAGGAACAAATGGCCAAAATCAACAAAGAGGTAGACCCTTTGTTGGCCAAAATCAAATGTGGCACACACCGAAATGTCGGAGAGGAAGAGTGGATTACCCAATTCCACGGTTCCAACACTCGCCGACTTAGCAACCTACCTACCATCAGCAAAACTTTCCGCGAGGAAGTCCTCAACTACGACCTATTGCACCAGATTTGCGAGGCAATCTTCCGCAAGGAATCTGGAGACTACTGGATGTGCACAGCGCAGGTAATCGAAATTGGTCCTCAAAGCAAAGCTCAAGAGCTGCATCGCGACACAGCCGAGTTTCCCGGATTGACTAAGTTGGGTCCCCGGATGGATGAGATCCAGATCAGTTTCTTCACTGCGTTGACCGATTTCACTGCTGAAAATGGCGCCACTCGTGGTATCCCCAAGAGCCACCTAATGGAGGACTATGAGGATTGGGGCCGAGAGGAGGATGCCGTTCCCGCCGTTATGAAGACTGGTGATGTCTTCTTCTTCACAGGCAGGCTTTGCCACGGTGGCGGTGAAAACCGTACTGAGGACTTCTGGCGTCGCGGAATCTCCCTGTGTTTCCAAGCTAGCTACCTCACACCAGAAGAATGCTATCCGCTTATGATTCCTCGTGATGTTATAGAGAGCATGACCCCACTGGCACAAAAAATGTGTGCCTGGCGCTCTCAGTACCCAACACTAGGAGGTGGATTGTGGCAACACAATTACACCGAGGTTGCCGACCAGATTGGACTGAAGTCCAACCAGCCATTGAAGCAATGAGGTGGGAGGGTAGAAGCACAATGATAGATGTAGCATGTGATAGGCTATTGTAGATACGGCTGAATATATGTGCATAAATTACTTCAAATTTGATTCGAATTTGATTCGAATTGCATTATCGGCCTCTTCCTACTTGAAATGTATTTAGCGCAATTAGTAAAATGGTACGTCCTGCCTTGGGGTGGCGATTGAACCAACTTACTAGTCTGCAGGTGACAATGCAGTTCTTGCATCGAAGCCCATAGTTCGTACATAAACGCTAACTGCTGTCAATGCTTGTAACCTGTCAAATAAATATGTGGCAAGATTCCTAGGAGGAAGTCATAGACTAAAAAATAAATCCATCTCTTTTCATCTCAACTTCACCACCATTCCACACTTTTCTTCCCTCTGCTAGAAACATGGCCGTAATCACAAACAAACCACCAGACTATGATATTATCATTGTAGGGGCTGGTTTTGCTGGAGTAACTCTTCTTTATCATCTCCGGAAACAGGGTCACCGATGTCTTGTGTTAGAAGCAGGATCAGATCTGGGAGGAACGTGGTTTTGGAACAGATACCCTGGCGCACGAGTCGACACTGAAGCTCCATTTTATGCTCTATCAATTCCAGAAATCTGGAACAACTGGAAGTGGAGTGAGAAGTTCCCCTCGCAGCCGGAACTGCGACGATATTTTGCATACCTTGACAAAGTATTGGGATTGAAACAAGACATTCAATTCAACACTCGGGTAACGCATGGTCAGTTTCGGGGGGATAGATGGCACACAGCTACTGAAGACGGCAGTCAGTTCACCAGTCAATTTTTGATTGCTTGCCCTGGACCCGGCACAGTACCACACATCCCCTCTTTTCCCGGACTTGAGTTATTCAAAGGAACAGTGGCTCACTCCTACGAGTGGCCAGAGGAGGGATTTGAGCTGAAGGGCAAGCGAGCCGCGGTCATTGGCACAGGGGCCTCCGGGTTGCAGATAGTGCAAGACTGGGCTAAACGAGCAGATCATCTTACTGTCTTCCAACGTACCCCCAACACAGCCCTACCTATGCATGGAGAAGGTTGGCTTCAAGATCCCAAAATGACCCACGAAGAATTCTGTCACTATCGCCGTACGCATCTTAGCGGCGTGAACTATCAATTCGCACCAACCAACACATTTGATACAAAAGATCCAGCTGAGCGACAAGCCTTCCGCGAGCATTTATGGAAGACTGGCGGATTTCCTTACGTCTACGGTAATTATAAAGATGTAATGATCAACCGTGCCGCAAACCGAGAGATGTACGACTTCTGGGCTCAAAAGGTCCGTTCACGCATTGAGGATCCACGCAAACGTGATCTCCTGGCGCCTCTGGAGCCTTTACATCCTATGGGTGCGAAAAGACCTACCTGTGAACTTGACTATTACGACCAGTTCAATCGGTCCAATGTTGATCTAGTGGACCTGCGATCCACTTCCATTGACTCTTTCCAACCGGACGGCCTCACCACCACTGATGGCCAATTCTACCCTCTCGATATCATTGCCCTAGCCACAGGTTTTGATATGATTACTGGCGGACTCACTCATATGGGGCTTCATAGTGTCGAAGGAAAGCCTTTGAAGGACGAGTGGAAGTCCGGCGTGAAGACGTATCTTGGAATGACCATCAATGGATATCCCAATCTATTTTTTCTAGCAGGCCCCCAGGGTCCATTGTCCTTTTCGAGTGGACCTATCGGTATCGAGGTGCAGTGTGGGCTTATCTGTGATGCGATTAAACAGCTACTAGCGCAAGGAAGCACTGTTGTTGAGCCCACTGTCGCTGCACAGGAGACTTGGAGTCAACACGTAAAATCTCAATTCGATGGAACGCTATTCCTCGATTCTCCTGACTCGTGGTTTTTGGGTGGAAATATTCCTGGGAAGAAACGCGAGTTGCTTACCTACGCTGCCGGGTTGCCTCAGTACCAAATGGACTGTGAGAAGGCTTTCAATTCTTGGGATGGATTCGTATGCAAGTAGTTAATGTTACCCGGGTCATACTACATTGATTCCGCTACCTATGTCATCACATCTGTCAACATAGCTTCTTGAACTATATATAGAAATAAGATAACATCAGAATATCGGAATAGAAATCTATCCTCTCATCTCCACGTTAGTAGTATTTAATATACCCAATTAACATCTTCTCTCTCTTTGAGACTAGATTTTGTACCTAATTTCGTGATTTCAACATTTTCGTTTTGTTTTTTCTTGATACTCTCTTGCCATGGTCCGATTGGAGGGCATGAGATTATTCTAAAGCGGGCTGCGACCATTCATTGGATGACTATCTTAGGTGATCGGCGTTCAAATATGCCTTTCAAGATATGACGACGCTTACATAGGTCAGAGGAGTCTCGAGGGAATGTGATGTAGTTAGTGAACCAGGCAGTCTGGTGTCAAATACCAATCCATATTGATTAAAATCAGGAGGCAAGCTCGGCAAGAAAAATAAATGAACAAGCAGGCTACATGCAGTGAATTCTTGAACTGGACTGGTACATCGTAATACAACACAGACCTCTTCCATCGATGTTTTCTTTTTTCGTATCAGAGATTGGCCAATCAGAGTTCTTGAGGCGACCGAGGTACACGCTCCGAGGTCTAGCTAGACGCGGAAGCCGAATACCAAACCTATGTATTCTTTCAATGTTCGATATCAAATCAAACATCGGTCACACAGACTTGAACATTAATACAAAATCTGATCTTTTGATCTCTTATAATCTTGAAAATTATGGCAATATTATTATTCAAAAATATAATAACCTTACCAGTCAGGACCTCAGCGTCTAGTTCTATCCATAGAAGTGATTCCGTCTTTCCCTTTTTTTTCGTTTAGAAACAAAAAATGACTAATCGGCATTTCAATGAACGAGACTGATATACTAATGTTGTAGTTAACGTCTAACAAATCAAGACGAAAGAAAGCTAATTCCCAAAAACAAACTTTAAGTAGATACCTTAGTCACTTATCAAATGAAATCTGACTACGAAAATGCCAAGGTTTCTCCGAAGAAATGTGGGACACAAACCCTGCCTCCCCGCAAACTCACAAAGATTTCAACCTCTCCTCCTAAAGCCCCCAGGAAAGTCTTTACCAGACCAAGTCCTTCCAAGATACCCAAGGTCTTGCAAGTATTTTACATTTAGTGTAACGGCGTGAGCCATGACCCGCTCCATCTCTTCCCAATTATCGGCGTTAGTCCACACAGGAGCCGGACTGCTAAGGAGTCCTGGGCCCATCGTCTCAATGACATTTATAACAGGCCAACATGGATGCTCATCACCAAATTCGGATAACGAGCCATTTAGCTTACCAAGCCAGACAGCATAAGTCTCGCTGGCATGCAAGGGAGTATCAAGAGCAGCATTGACGGCCTCCCAAAAAGTCCTTACCCGAATTCCGTTCAGCATTTTTCTTTGCCTCCTGATCACCGTGGGGTTAATCAAGGCATTTACAGTCATCTCAGCAACGTCTTCTGCCCTAGAAACGTAAATCCACTCCTCGGGCTCGGGGTAGTACTCGCCCACGAGCACACATGCGCTAATGAGTCTCCAGATCAGGTCATCGAGGTTAGCCGCATGACCATGACTTGGTCCACCAATAATTAAAGCCGGATTCAGGATGCCAAGTCGACTCCCTGATATTCCCTCTGATTTTTGCAGTGCTGCCGTTGCTGCTACGACTTGCTCGGCGATCAATTTCGATTGTCCGTAACCATTTGTCTCGTGCAGCTTTCGCTGGAGTGTGGATGTGGAAAAAACAGTCTCCTCTTCAGATGGATTCCATTGCGCACCTCCGGATATATACTCCAAGCGGGCAATGTGTGGATTCCGTGTCACTATCGAGACTAATTGTGTAGTAGAATCTACGTTGGCTGCTCGGAGCTCAGAGTAGCTGTACTGCCAGTGTACGAGAGCTCCGTTGTGAATGATTCCAGTAATCTGAGATGCATTGGTGGATGCATTGGATCCTTCGAGCTGTTCCCACTGGGTGCTATTGAGGCCGAGTTTTGGTTTGGAGAGATCTCCTAACCAAACTTGGATTTTGGAAGAATGTAGAGCCTCATCCCACCACCCGGCTTTGATGGCTGCAGCGCGCACACGCTCAAGTCCAGTAGCTGCATCCTTTGCTCGAACAAGAAGATAAGCTCTCTGGAGAGAAGGATTATATAGGAGTCTTTGGAGAATGGCAGTCCCGACATAGCCTGTTGCACCTGTCAAAAAGACGTTATGTATAGCGGAGGGAGGCGTTGGGCCAGGTGCGAAATGGTATGGGATCCCCTTCTGAAGATCACGAAGCATGGGTTCAATATCTTCACTCTCCATTATTTCTTCTTCGTTTGTGTCTTTCCGGGATTTTAATTCTTTCACCACGATGGCCAACTCAGTAAGCAGCATGGTGCGAGGAATTCGACTTAGTGGTAAGAGAATGCCAAAGGTGCGGTTAATCGCGCGCACAAACGAGACCATGCGAATTGAGTCTAGTCCTGCTGACACGGGAGCGAAATCAGGAGGATTCTCTGGGTCTTCAATAGACCCATCCGGCAGGAAAGGTTCTAGTAGCCGGCTAAGTCGTCGGGCTACAGTATCAGCAGCCGGAATTGTAGCTGTTGCGATAGTTCTTCGCCATGGCGAGAGATCTTGTTGTTCTATCCACTGTTGAAGTCCCTTGCGATCCGTCTTACCAGTCAGTGATAAAGGGAGGCGGTCTGTAAGAAGACATACGGCCGGCACCATATATGGAGGTAGCATTGCCGCGAGTTGCCGCAGGGTGGTGGCAGATATATCGGGGAGATTTAGTATCTTCATCTCTTGCAAGCTATCGATATTGTGGATGTTGCTGTCTTGGACGCCCCCTAGTTGGGATATGGAATCATTATTCCACTGAGCAATTAGAACCAGCTCTGCACGGCCATTGCTCTTGATGATCATCACGACAGCCTCTTCCAACCCTTCGATTTTTGTGGCAGTGGCTTCAATTTCTCCAAGCTCAATGCGCTGTCCATTCAATTTGACTTGATGATCTTTACGACCAACAAAAATCACAGACCCATCTGGTGCAAATCGAGCCAGATCTCCAGTTAAATAAACTCTTGACGCCCAGGGTGGTGTAGCTTCTGAAAAAGTTTCATATGGAGATACCTCAACAAACGCTCTTTTCTGGGCATCTGCATTATTTAGATATCCTCTAGTGACGATAGGGCCTTGAATCGCGAGTTCTCCTACGAGCCCCACTGCCACCAACTGACTACAATTATCAGGATGCACAATCACCATGCGACAACCGACAGGAGAACCAAAATTCAAGGGGTTCACTGATGGATGTAGCGGTGGAGTCAGCGCCGCGGTGACACAACATTCGCTGGGACCATAACTATTGTGAAACTGAAAATGGGGTATTTTGGTCCATCGTTTCAGCTGCGTCGCAGTTACAGCCTCTCCACCCAGACGCAACTCCTTTAAATTCGGGACCTCAAGTGGGTCCAAGATGTTAGCTACTGATGGAGTAATATCAATCACGTCTACCTGGAACCGAGAGATAACGCCTGCTAGTGCGGTGAGAACCTCTTCCTCTCGCGGAATGCATACTACTCCTCCCACGAACAGTGGTCCCAACATGTCCGCAATTGATGGGTCGAAACTATAGGTCGCGACTTGCAGCATACGACGATTGCGCTGGAACATACCCTGCATGGCCTGTGCATGGAATGCAGTAGCAACTTGACGATGTTCTGCTACCACAGCCTTTGGAATTCCCGTGGTGCCAGATGTGAATACGGCATAGGCTGCATTATTCGCCGCAACACCAGGGGATAAGGAGACATCTACATGATTCTTGGGCTGCTCCTGTAGCAGCTCTTTCCGCATCACAGAATCCAGGCACAGTATTCGATTTGCTAGGCCAGATACTTTGGATTGAAGAGCTTCAGAGCAGATAATTAAAGGAGCTTGTACCACAGAAATCATAGTCTGCATGCGAGCTACAGGTAGTCCACTATCCAACAGAACAAACGCACCGCCCGCCTGAAGAACTCCGAGTATGCTTACAAGAGTCCAGCAGGACTTCTCATGGGCTATAGGCACCAAAATCTCTGGACCCACGCCAGCAGCACGGAGACGTCGAGCCAACAGCTCGACACCGAGAGCAATTGACTGTACGAAAACTCGCCATCCCATCCACAAACGGCAGGACTATCTTCCCACTCGCCCATAACTGAACGCTGCTCAATCAACGTGTGAATGCATTCCTCGATCAAGTCGATAGGGGTTGAATGCCACTGCTGCATAATCTTAGCATCATTCGCGGTCCACATGTCTAGTTGTGATACAAGAGACGTTTGATTTGATGGCCGGAGGATCCAATTTAGCACATGTATGAATTTTTCAAGGAGTCGTTCTGCTTCCCAGCGTCCCATGACGGCCTTGCTGTAGGTGATTACATGGCGAATAGAATTTGAGCCGAGAAAACATTCAAGTGACAGAGGATATTCCATGTAATCATCTCGTCGGTCATCCAATATCTCATGGATAGGGCTGTCATCAACTTCTTCGGGCTGTATCACCAATAGACTTTGAAAGCGGGAGGCTTGCGCTGGCCCGGAATCCCCCAGGGAGGAGATGTGTGCCAAACCAACATGTTCATAAGGTAGACAGTCTCCATATTGCGACTGTGTAGCCGATAACGATTCCTTCACGGTGGTAGATTCCTCCAGTTGCAAACGAAAGGGAACAGTAGCAATTGTCGGGCCGATGATGCGGGCGACATCTTCGCCCGCAATTGCGGCGCTTCTTCCCATGCTTACTACCCCAAAAACAACATCGGAAGCTTCATTATAGCGCGTAAGGACAATACCCCATGCTGTCTGTATGGCCGTTGCGGCAGTGAACCCGAGATGATGCTGATTCTGGCCCCATGTAGATTCCATCGAAACATGGGCCTGATCTCGTGGCTCGTCCGTTGCTAGAGGCCGGGGAAATGACTGTCCCTCAAAGCCATGCAATTGCTGGCGCCAAAAGCTCATAGATTGACTCAAATCCATCTGCGCCAGATATCCAGCAAAGGATGAAAAGGGAGGGTGAATAATTTTTGAATTGGTTGGATCTTGATAAGCATCTACCAACGCGTTAAATATCAGCCGCTGTGACCACGCATCGTAGACAGCATGGTGGACACGCCATTGAAGTCGTCCTAGCTTTATCCAACAATAGAATAGAGGCTGTCCAAATGGGGGGTTGCTATTACCACCTTTGGCCTCTTCATTCATTGTGCCGGTTTCTGAGTGAAGTACCACTTGATAACAAGTACCATCAGACAGCTGTATAATCCGGCTGCGAAGTGCTTCATTCGCCTCGACCACCCGTTTCCAAGCAGCCTCTACTTGGGCAACTGGCCAGTCAATCGGTACTTCAAAGCTTTGTTGGGCCCAATATAGATCATGCTGTCGAGCTGTAAGGACCACAAGACCAGTCTGCATCGGTGTGCAGGGAAATAGACGCACTATCTCCGACTCAGAAATGTGACATTGTTGCACCGCTGAGGAGAGAACCTCGTGCTGCCGAGATTCCGGGATTTGAATGAATAGGGTAGAGACCGCGTCTTCGGGGCGTTCAATTTCTTTCACTTCTTGTAGCGATTGTTCCAAAACAGCTTTTACCATCTCCGAGAATTGGGGATGACGAAGCATTAGATTCACGTTTAGGGCTATTCCAGCTTGCTGGACCAGCCGCGCTACTTTTAGGGCATCTATAGAATCTCCGCCTAGGGCAAAGAAGTTGGAGTCGGGCTCAACATCTTCATCGTCTAGACCGAGGATCCGACACCAGGAATCTTTGATGAGGTCATGGGGGGATTGAATTCTAAGCACCGAGGTTTCGCCGATGCTTCCCATAGTGAACAACCGTGTGCGGACTGAAAGGAATTCTGGAAATGATATGTGATTTGGGCAAAAAAATTGAAGAGGGAGTGTCTATATATATATTTCTCTGCTCTGATCGGCAATTCAATGTACACATGGGCATCACTCAGCTCTTTGTGCACTGAAATGATTCCAGGTTATTTGCACGAAAAATATATGTTGATTTTATTCGCGTGTAGCTACAAAACTTCAAAAACCAACTACAAATAACGTATCTACCTCCTGGGGAATTATCTCTAATACTTGTAAGCCAGCTCCAGAAACCAATTCCCTCAACTCTTTCTCAGTCCAGACACGAAACAAAGCTGTGTCCAGATTCTTCTCGATTAAAGTCTCATCCTTCCAGACCTCAATGTCTCTAACCACGCGCCAAGTATTTCCCTGAACGCCATTTTTCTACACCTTCTCCCGATAAACTACACCTGGAAACTCGACACTAGAATGTTCACTAGGTGGCAAAGGATCTGTTATATCCTTATCCAAACCCAACTCTGGATCTGCGATAAGCTTGCTCACAATCGAGATGTGAGCTATTCCTGTTTCCGGAGTCAAGATATGAGCCACCTCTTCTAGGAACTTCTCAGGTTGACCTGGTCGGTAGAAGTGCGAAATACTCCCGAAGCCAATCGTGAGAAGGTCAACCTTTTTTGTTTGAAAGTCGGGAAGGGACGACATATCCAGCGCTGAGCCCAGAAGCCAAGTTATGCTTCGACAGCCAGCTTGAACAGGTAGCTTTGAATTTATTTTCTCCGCTCGCGCAATCATATGGGGTTCATTGTCTAGTCCAATGAACTCCACATTCGCGAGGGAAATATCAGACTGATTTTTCGCATAGCTAGTGATTGCCCGAATCAGCCGGCCAGTGCCAGTGCAAGCATCAAGCACGAGAATATGTGACGATGGTGCTCTATAGACCATCTGGATGAGCGCATCTGAGTTGTAGCTGGTGTCATTGCGCGTGCCTGTCCAGATGTCGTAGTATTCGGCCAGATAGGTCGAATCATAGCAAGTGCTTTCTCGCACGGTGGAGCCCATCTTTGTGGAATTTAAAAAAAGCGCAAAGATTGTTTGAGAAGCGTAGTTGAGGAAACAGAAAAGAGTAGGACAGCTAATCGTCCCTTTAATTTTCAATTCATTCCTTTATCAACAATGAATATGCAATTGTTGCTGGTCACATATGAAGGGTCCACTACACCAAAGTCATGAATCACATTTGACAGCAGGTATGTAATATTTTTGAGATAGTGCGTGATAGGACTCTCAATTTTTATTGAGTATTGTGGTATTATGTATAGGACTAAACGAGTAAATCTGCTAAAAGAATAATTTTATTTCAGTAAATCTTTTGTTTATTAGAGTAACACATTATATTGTATGGTTTTATATATCAACAGGTTACCTTTAAGGGAAATTTTCCTATTTTGGATTAGATTGATCGGTCTTAGTCCATCGCATTCACAATCTACATCCGAAAAAACCGACTTTCCTAATCTATGTTTGTACCTAACCCAAGTTAGAAACTCGCGATCTCATACTAGTGATTCGCAATACACAGTGACTATGTTCGAGTTAGTGAGTCTCTTGCAGAGATCTCCTACAATGCCAAGTTCAATCAACGTGAAGAAAAGGAATTCGTTAAAAATCCCACATAACTTGTGTTCACTAAATGACCGCGTCAGAGCTCAATCGTTCATTAGTGAGGGGTAGAGCGAGCCTAAAACGCGACTCATTTACTGTTGAATTTTGATGGAAACACTTAGAATGTGAGTTCTAGAAGGACTTAGAACTTCGAGATTCGGATGATTCAGAGTTGAGTTTTGCTAGTGAAAGCTGATAGTGGACGGGGAATATGGATGTGGGGAAAAAGAGGGGAGCTGAGGGGTGGAGAAATGCAGCCGATTAGACCAGGGGGGCAGATCATTTGACAGGAACTGACTCAAGCATACCATACCATTCTTCATAATTCAATATTCAACTTCAACGTTACATCACACGGCATATTTTATGGCAATATAGCCTAATGATACGAGAACAACAAATACTGAATTGTCTGGAGGATTTACAAAATATCCTTTTCGTAGTGCGCATGTAGTTTAAGCAGCAGCCGAGTATTCTGCAGGGCCAGATCATTCTGCATTCTTCATTCAAGCGTTGAGTGAGTTGAAAGAAACATCGCGCATGATCTTGCCGCCGACGGCTCTGTACGACGATGGAACACGCATTGCGTAAGATATGCAATGCAGAAACACTTCAGCCATGTTTGCAAGGGACACGCCATGCGGATTATCACAGATGAATTTTGTGGCACATTTCATTCATGAAGATTCATAACAACGTAGCTTTATACTTTTTCAGTAAGCCCAAGGTATTGAAATTCTACTCCTCCATCAGATTTCAGTTTCCTCCTCAATCAGTCTACTCAACTAAGAAAATTGACAATGACTTCGTTTAACCTTCCCCCCAATATCTCCCTCGAAGGGAAAGCCGCCATAGTGACTGGCGGTTCCCGTGGAATCGGAGCTGGCATTGCTCTGGAACTTGCTAAGCGCGGTGCCAAAGTTGCCATTGTGTACCACTCCGATAAAAGTACTCCGGCAGCTGAAAAAGTCGCAAGTCAAATTAGCGAATTAGGGAGTGCAGCCTGCTTGGTGCAAGTTGACCTTGCGACGCTTGACGCTGGACGTCGTGTTATCGACCAGGCTTTGAAAGGACTCCATGTCAGCAAGATTGACATTCTCGTCAACAATGCTGCATCATATCCTCCATTTTTACCAGTCTTAGAACTGGATGGGGCATTATTTGATCAGTAAGCATTTGAAGAGTTTCCTTGAAACATGCTATTTCGTTTTACAAACTAACAATTCGATCAAGTGAATACATGGTCAACGTGCGTGCACCACATCTTCTTGTGCAAGCTTTGCTCCCTCATATCGCCGAAAAAGATGGCCGAGTAATCAATATGTTTGTACTCCTAAACATCTGTTTGATGGCAAGCAACTCACAAAACATTGCAGATCGTCGGGACTATCTCGTATAGGTATCAACAATCTCTCCCTATACGCATCCACCAAGGCTGCTCTGGAATGCTTGGGACGTCAGTGGGCGCATGAACTCGCATGCCCGTACAAAATGACAGTCAACAACTTGGCCCTGGGTGAGATTGACACTAGTGTCGAGGGAGGAGACATTCCAGATGAATTTCGGGATACACAGGTCAATGGGCCGAGTGCGGCAAAACGTCACGGTACTGTTGGAGAGGTGGCTAATGTTGTTGCCTTCCTAGCTAGCTCTGGTGCCAGTTGGATCAATGGAAACACGGTTTCAGTCAGTGGTGGCCATGTTTACATTTAGACGAATCATGTTGTGAGGAATAGTTCTAGACAACGAGATGGTCGAGCTAAGCTCAATTGGGAAAGGCCGCTTGTTTCTTCCGCGGGTATACTCGGTGAACCCACATAGCTTAAAATTCAACATCAATTCAATTTACCATTACAATTTCACGAAAAACTACATTTACGGATAATGTTCTACATCAAATCGCAATATAAATTGTACTTGTGTTGCTCAATGTTGATGGCCATAACCTTAGCTTGCATTTGTCTCAACAGAATTAATCGCTAAAAATAGGCTTGTAGTATCCCTGGTCGCTGAGCCATACATCTGGTAGGTGAATCGCTCCATGTCTCCACTTCATAAGGTTTTACGAAACAATATGACTGCAGGCGGGGTTAAACTGTTTATCATTCACCTTGCAAATGCAATTTCGATAGTGGATATCGATCGTAGTTGCATATGCAATCTGCATAGTTTATATTGATCGTCAAATTTATTACTCTTAAGGCTAAGGAATACATAAAGAACACGTAGAGAAAGTGATGTCACTGGTTGGATCTCTGCTCCCAGGCTCGAAGTTCATGTCGCTGTACTTTCCCGGTGACCGTTCGAGGTAATTTAGCTCCGGATATGAATTCAATGACTCGGGGACATTTGTAGGATGCACTGTTGTTCAGGAAATGCTGGCGAAGTTCGACCTGCAGCTTTCGCGGAGGTCTAGTCTCATACCCCTCGTTTAAGACAACATAGGCCTTAATGATAGACCCACGTTCTTCATCCGGAATACCAACCACCGCTGATTCTAGAACCCCCGGGTGACTCTGCAAGACTGCTTCAACTTCACTAGGTCCAATACGATATCCCGAGCAATTTATAATGTCATCTTTCCGAGCCTTGAACCAGAAGTAGCCCTCTTCATCCTGATAAGCTCGGTCTCCTGTTAGGTAATATTCCTTTCCGGCTGCACTTCGTACCATTGGTCGAGTAACAACACCTTCTTCGTTTATGTAACCATTGAAGACGTCGTATATGGAATCCTTGCAGTCAGAAAGGCACACTCCGATAGCACCTTCCTCTCCAACCACCACTGCCTCCGCGTCATCGCTTAAGATCTCCAGTGGAATGCCTGGGAGTGGTCTCCCCATTGATCCTGGACACTGGCTATCTATGGTCTCCGTGCAGAGGAAAACTGTCTCTGTCAAACCATAGCCATTCAAAATTGTTGCTCCTCGCGTCATCTCCCCCCACGCCTTGATCACAGTGCTTTCGATTGTCTCGCCAGCACTGATGCAGATTTTGATCATCTGCGGAGGATGCGAAGCCGCAAACTCCCGACTTTGGGACGTGACTAATTGCCTGTAGGCTGTTGGAGTGGCACAAAAGTTGGTGACTGGATATTCATGCATGATTCGGAGCGTATGAATGGGGTCGAACATCTGACTCGGCGTTTCATCAACCAATAATGCAGCCCCATGGTTCCATGCGGCAAATACAGCCCATGAGCCTTTCACCCAGCCAACTTCTGAAAGACTCCAGAACAGGCTACCGGGAGAAAGCTGAGCCCAGTGTTCTCCAGCAATCTTGCTACTTAGAGCCAGAGAAACTTGGCTGTGTTGGGCGGTCTTGGGTTCCCCAGTCGTGCCGGATGTGAAATACAGGACGGCAGGGGAGTTTGCCACTGAATTGATCGTTGTGTCCACTATATTTGCCTGACCTGTAGCTACCAAGACCGAGTAGTCGATCGCATCTGCGATCCTATCATCATAACCAATCTGAATCATGTGCTGTAGCGAAGCGAGACGGGGTCTGACAAGCAATACCTTTTCCACCTGAGCAAGGTCGCCGATGAATGCTTTCGCGTGAACTTTCTTAATGCGATGTTCCAGATCTGCACCAGAGAGTCCACTAGCAACAGGGCAGACAATAATTCCACTGCGGAGACAGGCACATAGAATCTCGTACCAGTCTCGACACCGTGCTGCCGAAATCACTATGGTGTCTCCTGGTCGAAGTCCTAGCTCAGAAAGCGCCGATGCAACTTGTATAGAGCGCTCACTCAGCTCACGATAAGACACGTCTTTGCGCCTTTTCTGCGTGACTAGAACCAATGCGGGAGAGTCTCCACGATGTCGACTCCATTGATCAACAACTTCGCGCACGAAGTTGAATTGAGGGGGCTTGAATTCTGAGTCGAGTTTGGCCATTTTGCTCTCGCTTCAGTGATAGAGAGACGAAAAGAGAACTGTGAGATGATACCGAGATCGACTTTGGGTTTTACTGTATTCCGAGGCTATAAATAAAGAAATCTGGTGGCTAGCTGAAGAGTCTTTCCCTTGGGTTGCACTGCATGCTCTACACCTGCTGATCTAGATCACTTCACTGTTTTATATTACACAGCTGAAAGTTCAGATAGATCTTGAACTTGCGGTGTGATATCCTGGACACATTGTCTGCAAGTGAGGTGCACCAGTGGGTGCACGGACTCACGGGACACTGAAGAGGGAAAGCACAATTTCACACCAAAAAGAGCGATTTTAATAATTCAATTAAAATTAAAATTACTATTGAATTTATCTGAAATTGAGACAAATAGTTTTCAAGCATAAAAATTTTATATAGAATAAATTTTGAATCAAAAGAATCAAAATCGAAATCTTAATAATAGAATATATATTCTCCCACCAAATTTTTTGGTGAGAAAACGCACTATTAAATTTTTGAGCTCAAATCTTGCTTTTTCAAAACTAGCCTCAAGGAAACTATTCTTTGATGCTTGAAAAATATAATATATCAATTTGAATGAAATTAATTCAAAATTCGAATTTGAATTGAATTATTTAAATCACTTTTTTTGGTATGAAGTTGTGCTTTGCTGTCACGTTGTCCCGTGAGTCCGTGCACCCACTGGTGGTGGTTACAAGTTAAGGCATGCTTCTGCAGATTATAGACTCTGCCACTCGTGATCGGTACTAGTTAGAACTACATTTTGACCTCGAAAAGATAATTTTCACTTGAAGATTACATGCAGGTGTTACGGAGTGATTAGATTCTAAGGTGAATGCTCATTGTAACACGTGAAAGCGTCTTTGGGTCCTGAATAACACAGAATATTTCACTGACTTAACTTATCACCTTAGATTTCAACAACCATCACTAGTGTAATGTGGTGGTACCTGGAAGAAGTATCATTTTAATTAATCAATTAACTAGTTCTTAATGAAAACCAAGATAAAATGTAGTTTTACATAGACTTTATGTATAATTATGAAATCAATATATAAGGTTTCAGAACAAGTACCATCGCAGGTGTCAACCATAGTTTCTAACTATTTATCCAGAAACAGTCTCTAGTAAAAGACATTGGGCTATATAAAAAGGCCTCTCGTAAACCGAACAATCTCGAAACTATTCAGATACGCACAAATTGAATTCTTGTAACTATGCGATTCCTATGTTTGCACGGCATCGGTACTGGGAAGGCCATTCTCGAAGCCCAATTGTTCATGATCAGGCGTCAACTTCCAGGTCATGAATTCGTCTTTTTTCAGGGAGAAATAGAGACTCCGCCTGCGCCAGGTCAGGAACTTCAAACAGGTCCTCTTTGTATCATAAAACTGACAGTCACAAATAGGAGTCGAAATGTTCTTTCCGGGACCATATTATTCCTATTTTACCGTTCCTTCTCCAGATGCCGTACTGGCAGCGATTGACCACTTGGAAGACTTCATCGACACGCAAGGTCCCTTCGATGGAATTCTAGGATTCTCACAAGGAGCTGCACTTGCAGCCTCGTTCCTTCTACACGACTCCACCCGCCAGCATCCCAGAGATGACTTTCGATGTGCCGTGTTTTTTTGCGCAATTCAATGTTGGGATCTAGACAGCCCAGGATTTACACTATCACATGACGGAAAGTGTCGATCACTTGGAGGGCCATCAAAAGCCTCAAAAGTGGTGTGCTCCACAGATGATATTACAAGTGTTTTTGGAGCTGCATACCATCCACTAGTCAAGGGTAGCTGGGATTCAGAAACAGAGCTACTATGGCCCTTTGGAAGGTCTCCTTTGCGTTGGAATCCCTTGGGTTGCATCGATATTCCTTCCTTGCACGTCATTGGCTCCAAGGATACATACAGGGGTGAATCCACTATTCTGACGACGTTCTGCACCGCGACCAATGCTCACATTGTGGAGACAAATGGCGGGCATGAGATTTCCCGCGACCCCGCTATGGTGCGCAAGGTGTCAAATTTCCTGCAGACTGCCCCAAGCTTGATGTGAGAGATTCTGAAGGATTTGCTTCAGGGGTCTTGATGCTAAATGCATTAGCCACGCAATCCGGTACACCCGAGATGTGATGCGTCTCTGTTGCTGCTTCTTCAAACAGGCATACGGGTACCCACGTGGCCAGAAAGTATACAATTTCGAAATGAGATGCATATACCACAAGATAGTGGGCTGCAAGAGGAGTAATCTGGTCTTCATAGCGTCGGTGTTGCATACTTTCAGCCAGCACGAATATCTGGCATGAGTCAGATGGTACCTATATTGGTTAGAATCTTGTTAATGAGCGGAAGTATAGATTATGGTGGTTATTGCTAATGTATGTCGTTTGTGTTGTTGTCTAAGGTTATAATATACGGTAATAACCTCATATAGCAACATTTCATGTATTGATACCCAAAATATCATTAGTTTTGTATGAAATAAGAACGAGATATATTTTTGATTTTATACATTACTCGCAGGTTGTATATCAAGTACAAGATTTGTTGGCATAGAGATTTAGCGATCTGAATTATAGTGTGAGCTGCATAGCCCTCACAGAGCTTCAAACTTTAATTAATGGAAAAAAATATAGGCTAAAGCTGGAGGGAGGAGTTGTACGTGTTAGTATTTTTCCAACCCCTTCTCCTGCAGTAGCGAGAGGAACTAGCTAATCAAAGAAGCACATTCAATTGGTCAAATCGATCAGAAATCGGATTCCTCCGATGCATCGGCAGATGTAGTCGGAGAAA